TATATATATAAGGTATAAATACTATTTACTTATTAAGAAATTTTAAAAATGAAAAATGATAAGGTTATTTGTATATATGAAGATCTTTAGAAAAGTATGTGTAAAAATTGACGTTTTTCCTTTTTCTAGTGTATTGATATTGCATTAATACTAATTTAAAATAAATAGATCCTCCAGAGTTTCATAGGGTTTGTGGGTTGGCCCACAAAATGTTTGATACATAAAAAGTAGCTTGGTTCTAACTAGAGCAGTTATTTCAGTTGGACTAGAGGAAAAATATCTTGTTCTTTTTCAGGTTCAGTGTGGTGACTTTCCTCACCTGTTAGTATATGGACCATCAGGTGCTGGGAAAAAAACAAGGATTATGTGTATTCTACGTGAACTTTATGGTATTGGAGTTGAAAAATTGAGAATTGAACATCAAACCATCACAGTAAGCATTTTACTTTAAGCCCTTATATATGGCAGAGATTTTCAATCTTGATTATGTATGTACTCTTACTTCCTCTAATTGGTGATTTAAGTAATAATTTGACAGATAATCCTAGTGTACAATATTGAGAGCTACAGATATGTATATCTAACTATTGTAACCAGACCTGTCATTTATGTTAGGAAATTTGAGCAGTAGCAACTTTTGGGTGCTATGTATGCATGTGAGTTGAATGTTTCGGCTCGAGCTAAAAGTCAAATTTCTGACTTTGTTTTGAGAGCAATAGTTGAGATTTTAAAAAGAAGAAAAAATGCTTTTGAAAAATTTGTAAACACAGAATCAAGAGACTCCTAACGATAGAACAAATGACTGGAAAAGAAAGCTTGAGATTCTGGGACATTTAGAGGCTTCCTGTGATCTTGCCCTGGCCAAGCTTCTGGTCTTATACCTGCTCTTTTCCTTATGGATGATGTTTCAGATCTAGCCAGTCTGTCTGCTCTCTAAAATTGCCTTACTCTATGAGAATTAATGTTTCTTCTGTATTAATTTGTAGTTTGTACTTTTCATAGTAGTTAACTTTATTTTGCCCCTGGATTATGTTTATTTATGCATCTTCTTTTTTTTTGTTGGAACCGGGGATTGAACTCGGGTCCTTGTGCTTGCAAGGTTGGTGGCTAAATCCTGGCCCTATGAATCTTCTATTTTGACAAAATTTTGTTATAAAGTTATGCAGGTAATGTATTATATTTGTTTTCACATCTTTCATAGTCCCTGATAGAATGTCTTTTAGACATGATGTATTGGGGGAAAAATGAATTCTGAGTATAGATGGTACTACTATTAATAGAATTTTTGCGAGGGAAAGTGGGTTTTAGGCTAATTTTGATAAGATTATGTGTAGACATGTTGAGTTTACAAGTTAGCTGTAAATCTAGTAGAGATTCTAGTAGAGTAGGGCCAAATTTAAGAAGAAAAATGCAGAATTTATAGGAAGAAAACTAATACCTTACAGAAAGACAAAATACGAAGAAGATCAGATGTCAAGATAGAGTAGACAAGAGGATTGCTTTTTAAGAGTGTCTGGTTTCCCCAAATTGCAGTGTAAGTTTCAATGAAATTTCAATTAAAAACTAAATTTGTTTTTAATTATATGAAATGACCCTAAAGTCTCTAAGGAAGAATATATTTTTGGTACTATTTTAAGTAATTAAGAAAAAGATTAGTGAATTGGGGCTTGTGTTACAAGGTATGAAATCATATGTTAACACTAAAGCAATATGTTGGTATGGGAATAGATGATTTGACCAGTGAAGCAATAAAGAGACTGAAATTATGACGGGGGCATCTATTTCAAATGAGTGAAAAAGGATAAACCAGTAAAATATACCAGCATAACCAGTCATTTCTTGGAAGGACTTGAATCTGTATGACATATAATGTATAAGAATAGATTATAGGTGAATTAATGATTTAAGTTTTAAAATGAGATATTAAATATCTTAGAATAAAATTTCTTAGATGATATGAACTGCTTGTGATTCCTTTTAATAGACAACAGAAATGAGAAAAAATTAAAGAGATACTTGGACATGTGTGAATTTTAAAAGCTTGTATGACAGAGGATAACAAAATCAGTAGAAAAGGGAATGTCAGAATATTTTGAGAGGAATGTGTTAGGTAGTGATTTCTACAAATTGACAGCAGCAAAACAACCTGATAGAATGAAATAGCAAATATTCCTGGGAGAGGAATGTAACTGGCCAGTAAACATCTGTAAAGATGTTTGACTCCTAGGATAGTCAAGCAGTGTGATTCTATTATGTGGTCAAATGGGCAAAGTTGAGTTAGAATGAAACCTACTATAGATGGGATAGGTTGAGGAAGACTATTTGTTACTAATAGAAAGTGAATTGTTGAAACATTTTTGACAACAAATTGGTTTATACATATACATACACAGGCAAAAGGAGAAAAAATACTTGAGTATGACTAGTTTGGAACATCCACAATACAAATTGATACATACTTGTAATGTTATACTAGTTGTCTGAGAGGGATTGCTAACATAGATTGTTAAATAGGGAAAGAAACGAATGGGTATGTATATAATTTTCTCTTGTTATTTTTAATTTTTTTACAAGAAACATCCTACAATAAATATGCTTTATTTTTGTGTTAACATAAAGGACTGAAAGGATATATGCACATTATTTATAATGATTTGTGATAATTGAGGATGATTTGGGGAATTTTGGAGATAAAAGGAAAAAAATAAGAAGAATGGGATGCATGACAGGTGTCAGTTTGTGTATTATAAACATATTAAGAAAAAAAATGCGGTGCCAGGCATGGTAGTGCATACCTGTAATCTTAGCTGCGTAGGAGATGGAAGTGGTAGGATCACAAGTTTGAGGCCAGCCTGCGTGACTTACTATAGGTAAAGCCCTGTCTCAAAATAAAAAATTAGTAATCTATATTCTGGGAGGTTGATGCAAGCCAATCTGGGCACTTTAGGGACTTAATGAGACTCTCAAAAAAAAAAAAGAAGGGAGCTGGAGTTGTAGCTCAGCACAAAGATCCTGGGTTCAATTCCCAGTACCATAAATACGTAAGTGGGGTTGGGTATGTAGTTCAGTGCAAGGCCCTTTGTTCAATCTTCAGTAGTGGAAAAAGACAATAATGGGGTTAATGGAGTTGCATTAATGTTGAATATCTCAATTTTTTTTTTAGCATGCTTCAGTTTATATAACAAAGTAAGAACAAATGAAGATATAAAGAAGAAAATAGCCAATAAATAAATGTTGAATTATTATTACTGTTTTTGGTCCACAGACACCATCTAAAAAAAAAATTGAAATCAGCACTATTGCAAGCAATTACCACCTTGAAGTTAATCCCAGGTAAATAGCTAAACTATTTTTTAGAAAAAATGAATAGAAGTAAGCATTTAGACCTACTTGTTAAGCTTAGAATCCTTTTTTGAAATAAACTCATATCTAGGAAAGCACACACAAAGAAGTAGATTAACGTTAAGATACCCTAATAAAACTGTAGAGCCTAGTGCCTTCCTACTTTGTCTTTTCTGTCATATAATTTCAACAATCTATTTTTCTTGCTCTACAGAGCTCATTGTTTTCCACAAAGTACATTTTATTGATAGTAAATGTTGTTAAAGTATATGAACTCATTCAGTACTGATAAGGGAAGCATTGTCTAAAAAGTTCGTAGTGTCTGGAGTCAATATTTCAGGAAAATTGTGTTGCAGGTCTTTCTTTGCCACCTCACTGTTTTGGTTTCTTGGTCAAAGTTATAATAGTCTGTCATTCATGTCTGTATGTTTATCATGAAATAATAAGATTAAGATCTTGTGGGATAATAAGATTAAGACCTTGTGGGAGACCCTGCAAACTCATGTAGCAGCTGTAAAGTTGAGTAAAGCTTTAGCATTCTGTGGGGCCTGATGTGTTCTTGAAGGAGAATGGAGGACCTTTTTAGGCAAGGGCAACCTTGTGCCCACTGGCACAGAGGCAAAAGTGAATGTTCATTTCAAAATGAGGGAGGGGACTGAAGGAAGCAGGCAGAATAGTTTTGTTTTTGTTTTTGTTTTTTTTGTTTTCCAGTACAGGGGTTTGGATCCCATAGCTTTCACACTGAACTACATTCTCCAGCTCTCTTTTTTTGAGGTTAGGATCTGTCTTAAGTTGCTATTTCCCAGGCTGGGCTTGAATTTGAAATCCTCTTGCTTCAGCCTGCCAGAGTGCTGGGATTACAGATGTGTGTACACCATCTCTGGCAGAGGGATAAGAGTTTAAATTAATATGTATGTGACATTCAGTTGTAGGCAGTTGAGTAAGAAGCTCTGTATGGCTTATGTTACTAAAACAACCTAACAGATACATATTATAATCAGAAAAGAGAAAAAAGACTGGTGAGAATGCATCTGATCATAAAAATGAGTTAATTCCATAGATAAATGAAAAATATTTGGAATTCTGTTTCCCTCCCTTCCTCCCTCCTTCCATACTTTCCTTCCTTTCTTTTGAGATAGGGTCTTGCTGTATAATCCAGGCTGGCCTTTAAAACACTGTATAGTCCAGCATAGCCTCTAATTCTCAGCGATCTTCCTGCCTCAGCCTCCTGAATGTGCACCATCACACATAAGGCTTATTTGGGATTCTTAGCTAGAAATATCATAAAAAATGCTTTTTTTTTTTTTTTTTCCCGCATTGAGTTTATTGGTACATTTTAGGTATACAGTACAGTTACATTCATTATTGGGAACTTGTGCCTTTACATGACAGGTCTTCTCATTTTTTCACTTGTCCCTGCCCTCCCATCACCTCCTCCTACTCTCCCCATTTTACAAACATTTTATTTCCATTTTTTCATTTTCTCTTTTTTTTTCTTATTACCTTTCCCCTACCCTTCCCATTTATCTACACCTTTAGCCCTTTTCTTTCCATTTCACATTGTCAGTTATCTCATTAGGATCTTATGTACTATTATAGTTTATACACCAGAGAAACTATTTGGTATTTACACATGTGTGACTTATTTATTTCACTTAGGAGTATATCCTCAATATGTATCCATTTTCCTATGAATGAATCTAATTTCTCATTCATTATGGCTGAGTAGTATTCCAGTTTATATAGAAAAACCATGTCTTTTTTATCCAGTTTCCAACTGATGGACAAATGGGCTGTTTCCAAGTTTTAGCTATTACAAACTGTGCCCCTATAAACATGGGTGTGCATATATCACTCTGGTATGATTCTTTTAATTCTTTTGGAAAGATATCCAGCAGAGGGATGGCAGGGTCCAGTGGAACCTCTAGTCCCAGCTCTTTGAGGTATCTCCATACTGATTTCCATAGTGGTTGCACCAGTCTGCATTCCCACCAACAATGGAGATGGGTTCCTTTCTCCCCACAACCCCGCCAACATTTGTTATTGTGTGATTTCTTGATGTCAGCCATTCTTTGTGGGGTGAGGTGAAATCTCAGTGTTGTTTTCATCTGCATCTCTCAAATGATCAGTGATGTGGAACATACTTTCATATATTTACTTGCTGCTTTTACTTCTTTGTCTGAGAAATGTCTGTTCATTTCAGATGCCCATTTTTGAATCGGGTCATTATATTGGGGGGGCTAATTGTTTTGAGTTCTTTATATATTCTAGATAATAGTCCTTTGTCTAAGGAGCAGCTGGTAAACATTTTTTCCCACATTGTAAGTTGTCTTTTAGTTCTGTTGATGGTTTGTTTTGAAGTGCAAAACCTTTTTAATAAGATGAGATCCCAGTTGTTGATTCTTTGTGCTAGTTCCCATGCTACTGAGGATTTGTTCATAAATTCTTTTCCTATGCCAATGTCTTCAAGAGTTCTGCCTAATTTATCCTCCAGCAAGTTTAGTGTTTCTGTTTTAATATTTAGATCTTTAATCCACTTGGATTTTAATTTAGTGCATGGTGAGAGATAAGGGTCTAGTTGTAATCTTTGGCAAGTTGCAGTTTTTCCAACACCGTTTATTAAAGAGGCTATCTTTTCTCCAGTGGGTATGTTCAGCTCCTTTGTAAAAAATGAGGTAGCTGAGTACATCTTGAGTTGTTTTTGTGTCTTCCAATCTGTTCCACTGATCCTCAGGTCTGTTTCTTTGCCAGTACCATGCTGTTTTATTCATAGTAGCTGTATAGTATAGTTTCAAATTGGGAATTGTTATACCCTGTGCCATGTGTCTGTTGCCTAGGATGGCTTTTGCTATTCTGGGTCTATTATGGTTCCAAATGAATTTTTGGGTTCTTTTTTTCTAGTTCTGTGAAATATAGTGTTGGAATTTCTATTGGCATTGCAATGAATCTGTGTAGCAGTTTTGGTAATACGGCCATTTTCGCTATGTTGATTTTTCCTACCTAGGAGCAGGGCATATCTTTCGATTTTCTTATATCCTCTTCAATCTCTTTTTTCAGAGTGCTGTAGTTTTCAGTGTAGAGGTCTTTTGCTTCTTTTGTTAGATTGATTCCTAGATACTTCATTTTTTTGGATGCTATTGTGAAGATAATTGTTTCCCTAATTTCTCTTTCAGTGAGTCTGTTATTTGTGTACAAGAAGGCTATTGATTTTTGGGTGTTGACCTTGTATCCAGCTACTCTGCTAAAAGTGTCAATTAAGTCTAGAAGTCTTTTGGTGGAGTTTTTTGGGTCTTCAATATAGAGTATCATATCATCAGCAAATAATGACAATTTAACTTCTTCCTTTCCTATTTTTATTACTCTAATTTATTTGTCTTGTTTAATTGCTATGGCTAATGTTTCCAGAACTATATCGAAGAGGAGTGGTGATAATGGGCATCTTGTCTTGTTCCTGTTTTAATGTGAAGGTTTTCAGTTTTTGGCCATTTAATATGATGTTGGCTGTTGATTTTTCATTGCCTTAAAAAGGCATTTTAGGTATATTGATCTAATTAGCTTGGGATAAACAATGGCTATTTGGGAAAATAAAGCTAATATCTTTATTACTTTGCCCCCCCCACTTGGTTCTGTTGTGTTTGTTTGTTTGTTTGTTTGTTTTTGGTGAATGCCTTTGAGGGAAGATATAGCTGGTTAGAGATCAAGTTGATTGTTAAAAAAGTCATTCACCCCAACTTGATTGGGTGAATTCTGTTGTTTTCAGGTGCTTTTTGAAGTGTCAGGCATTAACATGGGTGTAAATGACAGGTTTGTGACTATACTAAGCCAGCAGTTTATATCTTAAACTCAGTTTACTTATTCTGTCCCCTCAGTGAGTCCCCGAATTGGCTTCCTGCTAGTGTGGGTTACAGACTTCTCTAGGCTTATTTGCCCTTAGACCTTTGTACTAACTGGGGTAGAGATGAATAGAAGTTACATTCCTGTTTTGAGTTATTTTTATATTTTGATAATTACAGATAGTTGAGAAATTATTTGTAATTAGGTATTTCTGCAGTGGGTACAGGAGTGTCAAAAACATTTGCTAAATAGTTATGTAATTATTATGTATTTTATGTAACCATAAACTTAATGTAAGAACATAAAGTGTTTTCTGTGACAGTCTTAGAATATTATTAGTATTTTTAATGATAAAAACATTTCACTTTTAAAGATTTATGTTTGTTACTGATTTTGACCAATATTTTAACCAATTAGACATTCCGCATTTTTCTTACAATAACAAGAGAGCAAAATTGCTTTGTGAATATTTACATATATGTATTTTTACTCTTGTTTTACATAGTGATGCTGGAAATAGTGACCGAGTAGTAATTCAGGAGATGCTGAAAACAGTGGCACAGTCACAGCAACTTGAAACAAACTCTCAAAGAGATTTTAAAGGTATGTGATGAAACACTGTCAGTGAGGTTGCTGAGCACTACTGCAACCCTACTGTTTTTCGTTTTTTGGAGTTGTTAAAATGAGCAAGGTGGTATGATCTTTGTACTTTTGGGGAAGTCCAATAGAATTGAATTTTATGGGAAAGAGTACTATTTATGGCACTTATTTGATGTTTTAAACCAAGATAAGTATTAAAAACTTTATAATAAGATATTATAAAATTTTAAAATAATTGCTCTTATGACCAAGTTTCATATTCATTATCAGCTGTTTCAATGAAAAGAACATTAAAATGAGATGACTACTAAAGACAATTTGATTTCAGCCTCTCAGTATATATTTTTCTATGTGTATACATTTGCATGCACTTCTTACAGAGATTGTGCCATTAAAATTATGACAACAATAATGCTTTTGATATATTTTGTCAAATTCATTTGAAAGAGGATGCAGGCTTATATTACCAGTAGCAGTGTTTGGGAGTGCTCATTTCTCTTAAACATTTATCAGCACTGCAGGTAATTATTTTTAATATTTGTAAGTTTGAGAGATAAAAATACTCTTGTTTTTCTTCAGTTGCATGTGGTAATTTTTCTTAATAGCTTATTTTTATTTGTGAATTACCTGTTCTTATTTCTTGTCTTTCCGCCTTAGTCTCAATATTTTAAAATAAATTTATATTTGTGAATTTGTTTTTTACTGCACAAGTAGTTTTTTTATTAATGCTTTCTAACATTTATATGGCAACCATTGATGTTTGAATCTTCATGTTTTGTCTTATGGTACTGGGGATCGAACTAGGCCCCTTGCATTTGTGAGGCAGGCTATTCCACCTATGAGCCAAATCCCTGGCCCGTTCATGTTATATCTCTCTGTAATATTAAATTTTCTAATTGTCTGAAATAATCTTTTCATAATTTATTTTGGATTTTTCAGACATATATACATTTCAGATGTGAATACAGTTTTTTTCCTTTCCAGTTCTTATGGCTCTAAAGGTACATTCTGTTGTCCAGTTATGTTGGCCAGAACTGCTAATATATTGTTTGATAGTAACAGAGACAGCAGACATCCATGTCACAGATCTCGAAGGAAGCCTTAGGATTTCTCCGTTTAGTTAGTGAATTTTGGCATGAGGTAAATATATTTGATCATGCTAACAAAGTATTTATTCAGTATTCCTAATATGAATCTATGCTTAATTTTGTTTAATGCTTCTTCCATATCCATGAATATGGTTCTGTGGTTTTTTTTCTTGTATTGGTATCATTGGTTATATTACTGGATTTTCTAATATTAAAACTGTTTTGCATTTCTCACGTGGTCTTGATGTATTTAAAAAGAAAGTCTGGTTCTCTCCCTACCAGTTATTAAGTCACTATTTTGAGCATCACTACACAAAACAAAAATAGTGATATATACTTGTAAATATTAAGAAAATATTGTGTCCTTATTCTTAATCTGTTATTACAAGAAATATGTTAAAGATATGCTATTGTAAGAAATATAATTAAAAATTTAAAAACTTTAATCAAAATTAATAACTTCTAATTTAACTATATACCTTTAAAAGTGAAATGTCATTAAAAATGCTTAAAATATTCCAAGACTCAAACTAAACACTAAACATGTTCTTATATTAAGTTTACTGTTACATTAAAAAAGTAATATTTAAGTAACATTTTAGAAAATATTTAAGTATTCTGACCCCGAGAGATGTTTTGCTCTTTTCCTTTTTCTTATACTTTAAAGTCATTTGCCATCTTTTTCTGTTAATCTTTTTTTTTTTTTAAGTGAATGAGCTCTCCAGTACTCTTAGGATGGAGGAGGAGGCCAGAAACTTTTTATTTCTAGGTTCAAAGCTCAGAATTGACCTTTATTTTATTTTCACAAAACAAGTAAAGTCTATCTTCTGTCTTCCCCTCTGCATTCTTCCTTTTGTTTTTTTTTTTTGCTGTGCTTAATTTGTTTTATTTATGGGGTTTTAGAGCATTGATTTAGTAGGGAGCTTTGTTAGTTTCAAAATCTTACCACTTTGTCAGACTTCACTGCCTTAGGATTTCCTTGCTCTATCCATGATGTGGTGTATACAGAATCTCCTTCCTAATTAATAAAGGCTGCAGTGAATTCTGCAACAAAGTACTTCTTTAATGTCATTTTGCCATGTTTCTTACTCTTCTTTAATTATAAATTTTTTAAGAATTAAAAAATAAGTTATTTTTACCATATCAGTAACTTTAATTTCCCCTGCCAAAAAAGAATAGTATAGGCTTTTACTTTGAATAGTGAGAAGAAAGCAAGGACAACAAGTTATTAAAGTTTGTTTTGTTTCTCTTTGATTCAGTGGTATTATTGACAGAAGTTGACAAACTCACTAAAGATGCTCAACATGCCTTGCGCAGAACCATGGAAAAGTATATGTCCACCTGCAGATTGATCTTGTGCTGCAATTCTACATCTAAAGTGATATCCCCTATTCGCAGTAGGTGCCTGGCAGTTCGTGTGCCTGCTCCTAGCATTGAAGATGTAAGTTAAATAAAACTTTTTGGAAAAAATTATCCCAAATCCTCTGATTTGTGTATGGCCCTGCCATGTTTGTTTTTGCAAAAAGAGTGAAGCATATCAGTAATTCAAGAAAAGTTATGGATAGACCTGGGTAAAAACCATTTTTAGTTGCACAAACCAATGTATATTTTAGTAAATATATTTTAGTATATTTAATATATCTTAGTATATTTATAGTCTGTTTTTCTTATTTTACATCATCTTTTACTTTAAACAAAACTCCACGAAACTAGATGTGGGCTGATTATTTAGTATTTTATGCCTCAGGCTGAATTATTTGGTTGTAGGAAGAAACTCAAATACTGTATAGAGGAAGAATATTTGGAAAGGAGATGATGGGAACTTAGTCCCTAGGTAAGGAATCAAAGTCTGAAACAACAGTGATACATATTACTTTTCATTATCTTTAATGTCAGTCAGTAAAGAAATAGTGATTCTTACAACAGGCAACTTTCCTGATATTAATAATAGGTTTTAGGAGCTTTTGTGCAAAATAGTAATGCACTAGATATAAAGTGGTAAAGTATCTTTATAAGTTGTACTTATAAAAATTTAAGGAACAGTTATAAAGGTCTGTTGATATGTCAACAAATTATCTCAATAGACTTTGACAGATTGCTCATTTTTTGTAAATTTGTAGATTTGCCATGTGTTATCTACTGTGTGCAAAAAGGAAGGTCTGAATCTTCCTTCTCAGCTGGCTCAGAGAATTGCAGAAAATTCCTGCAGAAATCTCAGAAAAGCTCTACTTATGTGTGAAGCCTGCAGAGTACAACAGTGAGTGGAAAGGGGCAGTTATTGAAGGTAATGTTCTTGTACGTAAGCACATTTGTGCTGAACTCTGTGTTCTCTCTGTCCTTTTAGGTATCCTTTTACTGCAGATCAAGAAATCCCTGAGACAGATTGGGAGGTTTACCTGAGGGAGACAGCAAATGCTATTGTCAGTCAGCAGACGCCACAGAGGTAACTAGTCTAAGATAGTGTTAAAGGTTCAGTCATTAGGATAGTATGGATAATGGCTGCTGTATATTAATATCATGGTATTTAGAAGTATAATTAAAGCTTGAGTCCAAATACTGAACTTTAAAAGAAAAGGTAGAATTTAATTCCTGAAATTTAGTAGTTCAGAACAGTTGGTATATGGAGTCATGACTTTTAAAGCTATTAATATGTAAAAATGGAGTTTTTACATAAAAAGAATGTGGAAGTTTTTCATATTTTCAAAATCGTAGGTGATTTAAACTTATACGTAACAATGTCTCTAGGTTTCTCATATTAAAAGGAACAGTATACAGGTTTGTAATTGATGCTTAATGTGGTAGAAAGACACCAGATTTCTACCTCATCCATTTTAGCTAAGTGTCTTTGAACGAATAACTTCATTTTGGAATTTCAGCTTTTTCATATGTATAATGAAGATACTATTTTTATTATCCTGCCAAGTACACTTGTGTATTTGTTAGGAAGAGCAAACACATTGTATGATAATGATTTGAGAACTAGAGAACTCTGCTTATGCCCAGTGGTAGGTTCTATTAGTAATTCTGTGTATATACCATTGGTTCTTAGGAAGTATTTTTCTACATTTGCTACATTGTTTCCATTTACTTCTCTGAGTCTTGTTATTCAGGAGTGGAACAAACTGAAAATACACTTGTTACTTAGTTTATGATAGCTTTAATTAAGAAAGATAGTTTATATTTCTCCAAATAAGAAATAAAGTTGTAAGGTCCACTAATTTTAGAAAGAGTATAGATGGTTTCTCAGGGTCCTTAAAACAGCCTTATATACTTATTGCCAGTCAGAACTGAGAGACCATCTTTGGACCTTTGTGAGCATTTATGGGTGCAGTATAGACTGAATGCAGCCACTAGAATTTAAGTTTCCTTGGTTTAAATGAAAATAATGGTGAGAGGACTATGCTGCTTTTACATCTGATAAATTATAGTTTTTTTTTTCATGCTGAAAAAATTTTTTTATTAAAGATTGCAAGCATACATGACAACAAGAAATGATACTAAATAAAAATTTCAAATATACATGTATATGACAGTAAAAAAAGGCTATGAAATAAACAAAAATTTATGTAACAGACTGATAATCGAAATGCATTATTAGTTTGATATGATCTTCAAACATTATGTTCTTTCTCATTTATGAGTTTTAAAGAGATTATAATATGTCTTTCTTTGACTACCATATAAATTGTGGAAGTAGATAGTGATACATAGTGGGTACATAGTACTTTTTAGAGTGTACTTCAAATTCTTATATTTCAGGGCTGGGGATCTAGCTCAGCGGTTTGGTGGGCTGCCTTGCAAACGCTGGGGATTTAGCTCTGGCATCACACCTGCCTCAAAAGTGCAAGGTCCTGAGTTCGATCTCTGGTACGAAAAAAAAAAGTGCCAAACTTTATATATAAGTAGCCACATAGGAAAAGAAACATGTTTTCAGGAAAAAAATATGTATTTCATTTCATTAATGTAGCAATGAAGGAATTTCAGTGTTTATGAGATAAAACTAAAAGCACATCTTAGGAGCTTTTAGTACTTTTGTTAAATACTTTCACAGTGGAGGTAACTTTCTGTTTGATTTTAAAGAAGAAATATTGGCAGTAGGCTTTCCTACTGTTAAAGAATTTTGATAAAGATATGTAAATATTTGACAATAATCAGATATATTTTAAAATTTTTATTTGATTATTGCTTTGGCTAATTTTTCTAGTTGCTACTACCATTTCCTCCAATTTTACTACTAAGTGTTGGCAGCTCATAAATGAACTTGTATAAGAAGGGATGCTCCTGATTCCTCTTTAATAATTGTGGCAATTGACTCCATTGTGTTAAATATGAAGAAATTTGATTTAATTTCAGAAATTTTCGTGGCTGGCCAGAAATACCGGCAGACTGGTATCATTTAATCACGGCCATATTACTATTATGTTTTGACTCCTTAATTTTGCTGCAGTATTTGTTCTTTTAATTTTCATTTGATTTAAGAATGGTCATAATTTTCTAATTTGAATACAAGCTAATTTATGAATGATTGCACAGTCATCTCTTTTAACTCCTAAAAGTCTTACAAGAAAAACATTTTTATTCTAGAAAACATTTAGGAAGATTATCTTGTTTAGGGACGGTCATTTATTAAGAGGTAGCAACAGTTCTAGAATAACCAAGTTTCTTTGATAGAAGAGTGTATAGTCTAGGGGGCTGAGGATTTAGCTCAGTGGTTCTGGTGCCTGTCTTGCAAGCGCAAGGTCCTGAGTTCAATCCCTGGTACCAGAAATAAAAAAAAGAGTGTATAGTCTTAATCACTTGCAGCCTATCAAGAAATAATGGAGCCAGTGTAATAAGTTTAATATGTGTTAATCTTCTGAAGCTAAGTTATATTAGAAATGAACTCAGACTAACAAGAGACAGATATTACCATGTATAAGGTACATACATACAGTATAGTTGTATCACACAATTGTATATGTAAATCTGAATTGCCGTTTTGGAAATAAGCTATATTATATATTAGAATAATTTTATATCATATCATTTGTTTTGACTATTTATGCTTTATTATTATCAGGTTTTATTTCTCTTCCTGAAAATGCTATGAGAAGGGCCTGGAGTTAAAGGGTTAAGGGCTCAGGGGTTAAATGTTTATTCTTACTTTTGTGTCTCTCCTCTACTTTTTTTTTTTTCCCTTTTGCAGTCTAAACACTAGCATTGTTTTATACTCACATTATCTCTTGTCAGTTGTGTCATTAACTATTGACTGTTTAATTTTTTCATGACCATTTTCTAGATATTTTAAGCTGTTTTTAGCTGAAGAAAAAAATACATAGTACTTGATACATCATTATAGAGTTAAATTCTGTGGTGTGAATAAGCTTGACTTGCATCATTCATCATTCATGAAGTCTTAATTCCTATTTGTTGTTTTCATGGTTGATATAGTGAATAACCCTACTTATAAATGTCTGTTTTATAAGAGTTCTGAAATTTCTTTTAAAAAATGAGCTGAAATTAGAAGCATCTACATGTGTATCCTGAATATGATAAACTATAGAAGAAAATATGTCAGTATTTGTTTAGTTGTTCCTTATTTTCATCACAAAATAGCAATTATTTTGTTTTATATAGACTTCTTGAAGTTCGTGGAAGGCTGTATGAACTTCTAACTCACTGTATTCCTCCTGAGATAATAATGAAGGTAACGCATTTTCAGAACTCGAATTGTTAATAACCATGAAATTTGGATTGTGAGTGTGTGATCACAGGGGTTTCACAGTACTAAGATACATTATCACTTCTTTACATCTCATTAATTCCATAGGTAATTACTCAGCCTTTGTTGCAGGTAGCATTAGGGGACTGTGAAAGGAGGGGAGGATCTGCCTTCAGAAAACTTATGTTCTAGTAGAGGGAAATGGGAAACAAGTAGGTTTTGGAATGATATAAATATTATAAAGAAATAAACTGAAATGATAGTGGAGGGGGTGGTTGTAGATGGCTGTAAATGACTTCTTTGCTGAAGGTAGGTTTAAGCTCAGACAGGATTAAGAAGAGAGAACCAAGTGAATAGCTGGGGAATAAGCATTTCAGACAGCAAAATTCAGTGTACATGGGAATGAGAGAGAAAAAGGTACAGGCATTCAAACTGTATGTGCTTGGTCTCAGCTACCTAGCTAGCTAAATTTATTGATTGCTAAATACTAGGGGTTGCAGGAGTTTTTGTTTTAATTAAAGTTACATAATAATGCTCACGTGAAAAAATTTAAGTGATACCAATTATGCAAAGAAAAAAGTAAAGGTCCATTTTTCTATTTATAAAAGTTACCACTTTGAACAGATTTGATCTTTTCACAGATAATGAAATACATATGTATATGTATGTAGTTTCACAAAATTTCTGTGTTTTTGCACCATGTTTTTATTCAGGAGTATAGGATGGTTGCTCTGTGACTACAGATTTACCTTGTTCTTGCCAGTATTTTATCATAACTGAAAAAACTATCTTAAGTTTTTGATAGTCTGTCATGCCTGTCATATTTTTTTTAGTATATGTGCTGCAGAGTACTCAAATTTTTTAATGTGGTCTCTATTGGAACTTTAGATTATCTATAGATTATTATTATAAATATTGTTATAGTGAAATATTTATATCTTTCTCCTTGCACCCTTCTGCAAAGTAATACAGATATGTCCCTCTATTTATAGCAAAGTTGTGTCCTGATAAACCTACTAAAGTTGAAGATGTTTTAAGTAAAAATCCCAGCTACTTGGGAGATTGGGGAAGAGGACCGCTTGACTGCTAGAGTTGGAGTTCAGCCTGGATAACAGACCTTGTCTTGAAAAACAAAATCCTTTATTACCTGACTTACTTTAGCATCATAGATTAACAACATAGTAGTGTCTAGAACAGTGATCCTGAACCTTTCAATGAAAACAAACAGCTGGCTGTGTCACACATGCCATAGGTTCACCATCACTTATCTAGAATATTGATTATTTACCCTAGTGATTGTTTAGCTGACAGAACTAGTTTGCCCTGGCATCTTAAAAGAGTACCATGTATCACTAGCCTTGGAAAAGATCAAAATTCAAAGTCTGATTTCTTCTGAATGCATATTGGTTTCATACCATCATAAAGGCTGAAAATTGTTAAGTCTGAGTATTGTAAATCAGGGACCATCTATGTTTGCAATTTGAAATACGGTAGGTCGTCACTGCATTTTTACATTTCAGAAGTAAGACATTGTTTGGTTTTGGATGAGGACTACTGGTTAATGTAAAAGATATACTGTATGTATAAAAACATATTTGAGTTACATTTTTGGGGGAATGAGAACTAAAGCATGTTTGGCTGTTTTTTTCTTTTTTCTTTTTGGTACTGGGGATTAAATGACTTTTTTAAACAATTACTTTATAAGTTACTGATTATTTTTCTGTAGGGCCTGCTCTCAGAACTTTTACATAATTGTGATGGACAACTGAAAGGGGAAGTAGCCCAGATGGCAGCTTTTTATGAACATCGTCTACAACTGGGTAGCAAAGCTATTTATCACTTGGAAGCATTTGTGGCCAAATTTATGGCACTTTACAAGAAGTTCATGGAGGATGGATTGGAAAGCATGATGTTCTGATATCAATCAGTGATTCTTCCAAATTTTTTGCAGAATCAGCATCTACATACAATTTCTGTTGGGAGAGATGGGTAAAATAAAATACTTAGTTATATCTTATTTGTATTTTTTAAAATATTTCTTTGGTGAATTACTAATCATTATTTTCTGTGTTAAATAATCGCTCCTATACTGTTTAAATATGTTGACGCAACTAGAAATTCTGTAGAGTCCAGGAAAATGACTTTTATTTATTTTAAACATTTGTTTATCAAATATGCATTGTTTGATCCTCCCATTCTCTTCTGTCCAATCTGTCACCTGTTGAGGGAGCTTTGCAGTTGAAGATTATTTTTCTATCCCTCTAGAATTACATTTTTTTCAGAGAATTTAAGAATTCTAAAATGTCCTAGCATGAGTATATTTCAGTGATTTGCACAAGTGTTAGTTACTAAGAAATAAGCATTATTTTAAATGCTTGGACTCCTGAAGAATATTCATGTAATTTGACCACTTCTCAGTGTCCAGTGTCCCTTTAATTTTATAGTTTAGAAATTGATTAGGTAGGTAAATGTGTGAACTTAGTTTAGATCTCATATTCTTAACTATCCAGAATTTCTTACTTTAATTTCTGATACCTTGGACCAGACCTGTAACTTTAGGCTAGGAGAGTTCTATACAGGTTTTCTTTTTTGAACCAGGTCTATAGATTTCATCCAGTAAAGTTACAGATTTTCCTTATTCCTTATACTTTGTCACATCTATGACTGTTACCACAAGCAGCTCTGCATGTATAAAGGTGCAATTTTTGCTGACCAAAGGCTGTGGTTTAGATTTGGTTTTAGTGTGTACCCCAAGGGTTCCTATATTGAAATTTAATCCCCACTGTGAAATATTAAGAGGAGAGAAACAATCCACAGTGATATTTAGAGGTGGAGCTTTAGGGAGGCAATTAGGATTAGATAAGATCATCAAGAGTGCAGCCCCATATGTGAGTTCCTGGTGACCATAAGGAGAGCGAACAAAAAATTCATACAACACGTTACCTTACTATGTGATACCTGGTGCTGCCTCAAGATTCTACCAGCTAGAAGGTCGAGAGATACTACCCCTTGGCCTTGTGCCTTCAGAACCAAGAGTCAAAATAAAGTTAACCAGGCCTCAGGTATTTTGTTATAATAGTGAAAAACAATGGATTAACACAAGTGACAAGTACATAATTCCATGACCAGGCATAGCAGACTATAGTGCTGTTATTTTTACCCAAAGCTGAACTGTTTTAAAGAGTAAACATTTTTCACCATGTTGTGTGATCAATTTTTAGTGCCCTAAGTAGCTGTTTTTAACAGTTTTGTTCATACTTGAACTTTTCTATGCAGGAAAATAACCCCATATCTTCCTGTTCTATTAGAAATAGACTTTCACTAATTTTTTTTTCATAACATTTTTTGATTCACATTTCAGTTGGGTATTATTTTCCTTTAACCTGAAAAAAATATCTTTGGCGATTCTTGTAAAAATGTTTGGGAGTGTTTTTGGTCTAATATATTTTCATTTTTTCTTTTTTAAAAAGCATATTTATCTGGGATTTAGTTCACCTGCCTTGCAAGCACAAGGATCTGAGTTTGATCCCTAGTACCAAAAAAAGCATTTTTAATGAATTTATGTTTGACAAGTGTTTTGGTTTTGCTTTTTTGTTTTGTTTTCTTTTTTCTATATACTTTTGTCTTCTGAATTGCATTATTTCTGAAAAGATCTTTTATTTTTTTCCACTATTCTTTAAAAAATTTTATGTCATATAACTACTTTTAAGATTTTTTTTCCATTTCTCTAATTAGTTTTGAACTGTTATTATCAAGATATATCTTGGTGTGATTTTTCTTTGTGTTTGTCCTCCTGTTAAACTACCTTGAGTTTATTGCACTTCTAGATTTGTAAGTTTATGGTTTTGATCAGATTTGGAAAAGTAGACCATTTTCTTCAAATGTTTTTCTGTCCTCTCTTCTGAGGCTCTGGTTATGCCTATTTGGTAGTGAGTGCTCTGTAAGTCACAGTCTCCCTCAGTGGACAACTTTAAAAATCGCTGACTTAATAGTTTTATAATATGATGTAAATAACAATTTTGTTCCTAGGATTTGAAATTGCCCAATATACGTCACAATAAAAACTCATTTGTCTGGGTTTACTTAAATTGAGTAATAGTACTTTAAATGTTCCTTCCAAATTACAGCACTCTAAATTGTGAAACGCATTCCTTAGAAAAAAATATCAACCTTTGATAGCTATTTTCTTTATATGAATTTCCCAAATAAAATACCCCCCCCCCAAATTGATGAACTACTTTCGTTAGCTGATTGTTCCTGGTTTCTTTCCTGTTTACAATGCCTATGGAAGTTTGGAGCATTATCACACAATGTTGTCATTTTGGTCATGGTATACAAAACTTACAATTAAGTATTCTCTTACCTGATACAAACCTTAGCTTCTGTCTGAATGATAGCCTCATTCTGATTTATAAACATTGTATGGTAACCCATATGGTTTGGTTACCTTATTTTGATTGTACCTTGACATTCCCTTCTGTTTAATACATAGAAGCATAAGAAACTTAAATGATTTCTTGAAGAGCAGCTGTGCAAAAAAATCACTAGCTGTAGGCATGTAAAAAACTTTACATAGCCTCAACAGGATAACATTAAGTACTTTTATGTGAGACAGTCTACTAGGTTCTTTATGGGCTTTTAAAAAAATGCTAACAGGTTTTGTGCTAGACAGTATCCTGTTTTACAGATGAGATATTAACTAGATAGTGGAGCACAGGCTCTACCCAAATACATTCAGTTACCAGCTATGAACTGGCCCTCAACACTGCCCAAACAAACAAGCTTATCTAATCAAGTCTCCACAATGCCTCTTTCATCTTAATTTGGAAATGATAACCTTACCTCTTTACCAGCCAACTACAAAAACAAATCTGTATGCATTCCATATTTCTGAACCTTCATTTGTATGCATCCTATGTTCCTGTACCTACATTTGTATGCATCCTGTCTTCTGATACAATAGAGAAGCTATTCATCTTCCATTTTTAGCCTAATCCCTCCATCCGTGCCTTAGATTCCACTAAATTTTATTTTGTCTAAAAAAGTCCTTATGCTGTCCTTCTTTCTTGCTTGTGTTTGCAGCCTCTTCACAACTGGGTCATTTCTTTGATTTTTATTTTGATATCTGATTAAAGTTTCAAGCAAAATTTAAAAAATTGGCATCATCAATATTTTGTAATAGTCATTTAACTGTGGTTGGTTGGTTATTGTCCTTTGTTCACCTATCATTTTATGGTTTTGATGCCCTTCACAATGAATTACAGACAGTACATTTCTTCTCAAGCTTATTAGCACGCACATTAACTAGCCACTTTAATAAGGCAAGAAAAATACATAAAATGGGAATAAAGGGAAGCAAGGAAATTATATTCACAGATGAAGTGATTTCCTACCTAGAAAATCTAACCAAAAATTTGTGAAATTAGGAAAAGCACAAGGTATATAACTAATATGCTATAATTGTATTTCTATGTAACTGGTTTGGGAAATAAAATTTAACTGGTAGAATTTATAACTTACTGAAACCCTGAAGTGCTTCATAAGAAATTTACCACTACTTAAGACTACATTGAAAAAAAAAATCCCTCAAGTCCCAAATAAATGGAGAAAGGTAACAGATTTAAACACAACATGTTAGTCTCAACTCCCATTGTGTGCCATATAGCAAAGATCATCATTATGCCAACAACCAGAAATAGGGTTCCAAACTTTTCACTGAATCTCAGACTGCAATTTTATCCATTGCCTGAGTGTGGTGAGACATCACACACTGAGTAAATTATATGAAAATGGTTTATTACTCATAGCAAAGAACAAAAGGAAGATCCATTTGGAGGTAATCTCCAAGGCTCAAGAAAGTTCTTCAGGATGGGTGGTCTCAACTGTGCATGTCCCACTTGAACCATAGCTGATGGATCCTGAAGGACAGTCCATGCCGTTACATATTTCACTTAAGTATGTAGTCCAGTGGTTTTAAGTACACTGTTAGTATGTCATAAATAAAATCCTGTAGCATTTTTTGTGATTAGCTTATATCATTTAGCATAAGTTTTGTATGGATCAGAATTTTTATCCTTTTTAAGGCTTAGTAATATTCCAAGTGTATTTATATGCCACATTTTGCTCATTTGTTTATCTGTCAGTGGTCACTTGGTTGCTTCTACAACCCACCTGTAAACTGTGCTGCTGTGAATATGGGAGTCCAAATATCTGTTTGAGACCTTGCTCTCAATGCTTTTGGTATACACCCAGAAGTAGTTACTGGACCCTATAGTAAGTCTACTTTCATTGGTTTTTTTTTTTTTTTTTTTTTTTTTGGTCAACTGTCTCATTACGTTTTACAATGGCTATCCCATTTTATATTCCCACTAACAGTACAAAAAAATTTTAACTTAACATCTTTGTGGATTTGTTATTGTCTAAATTTGTTTTTAACAGCCACTTTAATGGATGTGAAATGGTATCTCTGTGTATTAGCCTTTTTCTAATGATTTGTGATGTTAAGTCCCTTTTCATTTCTTTATTGGCCATTTTCACATCTTATTTGGATCAATATGTTCTTACTACATCCATTTTTGAATTTGAATTAGTTCTCTCTGGGTTCTGGCTATTAATCTCTTAACAGATATATGACATCAACATTTTCACTCACTTTATAGGCTGTATTTTTTACTCTGTTGATTCTGTCCTCAGATTTTTAATTTTTATCAAGTCTCATTTGACTTTTTTCTTTTATTACTTATAACTTTTGTGTCAGTTGCAAGAAATCATTGATAAATCCAGTGTGGTAAAACATTTGCCCTTTGTTTTCCTGTAAGAGTTGCTACAGTTTTAGTCTTCATATTTATGCCTTTGATTCATTTTGACTTAATGTATGTATATGGTATTGGGTAAAGGTCCAGCTTCATTCTTTTCTATGTGTCTATCAAGTTTCCATAGCACAATTCATTGAAAAGACTTATCTGTTGAGTGACTTTGGCATCTGTCTTAGTTACTTTTCTCATCAACTGAGACACAATACCCGACACTCACAAGTTGAAGGAGGAAAGGTTTATTTCAGCTTACAGTTTGTAGAAGTTTCAGTCCATAGTCAGCTGACTCAAAGGCAGAGTAGCAGGGCACAGGAGCATCACAGAAGAGTAACAGTTCATGGCATTGCAAGCAGAAGGAAGCAAAGCTGTGAAGTAGCAAGCTTGCCTTTCCCTTTTATCCCATCCAGGCTACAAGCCTTTTGGGTGGTGCCAGCCACACTCAGGGTAGAGCTTCTTTGTTCAGTAAATCTATTCAGCCACACTCAGAACTATGTTACTTCCAATCAAGGACTAAATACTACACACCCTTAATTCCAGTATCTGGATTTATACCCTAAATCCAGCCAGCTCTAAAAAGCCTGACTTGTGAGTGCATGAGGCTTTGGGAGGACATCTAGATACAAGGCAAAGCAGCATCTTTTTTTTTTTTTTTTTAAATTTTGGTAAATACACATAATGCACTTTACCGTATTAACCATTTTTAAGTGTTCAGTTCATTAGCATTAGCTACATTCATAATGCTGTGAAATTAGCATCATCCTTCTATAAAACTTTTTTCATCTTGCAGAACAATATGTTAAGCAACTCACTATTCTATTTTCTAGTTTGATTAGGTACTTCATGTAAGAGTAATCATGCAACATTTGTCTTTATGGCTAGCTGATTTCAATTAGAGTGTCCTCAGTCAAAGTCTTCTGCAGTTTGACTAAAAGGTGTAATGTGGCTTTCTTTGTAATCATACTGCTTGTTTATTGAGTTTTTAAAATATGTGCATTTATGTTCATCAGATTGGACATGATTTCAGTCATTTTATCAATATTTTTCTACCTCATTTTCTTACTAGGATTCTAATTCTACATACTTGAGTTTTGCTATTGTTCCGGTGTCTCAGTTAAATTTCTTGGACTTTTTTCCTGTTCCTCAGATTAGATAATTTCTATAGCTCTGTCTTCAAGTTCAGCTCTTGTCATCCTTACTATCCCATTCAGATCATACGATGACTGTTTTTTAAATACTATTTTTTCACTGTTAGAATTTCCAGTTGAGTCCTATTAACAATACCTGTTTTGCTGCTTGTATTTTCTAAGGTCTTATTTATTATGAGAATATTTTCTTTATATCCTGGACTATATTTATAATTGCTATATGAAATTCCTTTTCTGTGAATAGCACTGTCTGAATCCTCGTCTCTTTTCTCTTGATAATGAGTCATGTTTTACTACTTTTTTGCATGTGGAGTAACTTGAAATTGTGTCCAGTGGTTGTGAA